ATTCTGTGATTCCTCTGATTCCTCCTTGTGTATTGCAGATAGTCTTGTTTGCAGCAGTTTTATACTGGCTTCTCTAGTAGTACTTTTTTTAATAGATAAATGTGAAATATGATTATGAATATACAACTATGAACATACAAATGGCTGCACAGTTTTCAGTATTTGAAACAGAACACTTGTTTTTAGAATTTGTTCACTATTTCTCTTCTTGTAATACCTTTTATTTCTTAACATGCTTGATCCATTCCTAAAATAAAAACAATCCCAAAGTACTTGGGCATCATGCCATTATAGCTTTTTGTTACAGAAATTCTCTGAAAGTGTTTAAAGTACCTTTGGGAACAGCCTTCTGTCATTATTTTGGCTAAAAGTAGCATCTCGGTGTAGTTTCTTGGAAATGACAAAGCTGTATGTTTTGTCTTTACAGGGGTGGTTAAACGAATTATTCCAGCAGTAGCTTCTACAAATGCAGTAATTGCAGGTATGTTAGAAGAATTAATTTCACTTCTGCTTTACAGATTTCAGAGTTTTGTAACGCAGCAGTTTTGAATCAAGAACTAGACTATGGTAATAGTAAAGTTTAAATGGGTCTGATTTATTCTTACAGTTTCACTTCTGTTTTCCATAGAGAATCTGCATGTGACTGTATACATTTTAAGCTTGTTTATGACTGTAGGAGTGAACATTTGAGATGGAGAGAAAAAAAAAATTGGAAAACATGGTACATAAGCTTAACATAGTCACAGATTAGTGCTGAATCTGTTGTGCTAATGCATAGAACTACCAGCTGCCTTCAGATGTTTATTTTTCTCTTTACAAATCGTTATACTTGATTATTTTTTTTGGTCACTTCTTTGGTACAACTTTGTGTACTGATATCTGCGTGTGCTGAGAGATAGAAAGTGAAGAACTAATGTTGTTGTGTGTTGTTTTTTTCATTCCAGCTGTTTGTGCCACCGAAGTTTTTAAAATAGCCACAAGGTATTTCGTTTCCTGTTAATAACAGACCTGATTTCCAACCTAATGATGTGTATTAACGCTAACATACCTGTCATTGTAGTGCATACATTCCTCTTAACAACTACTTGGTGTTCAACGATGCGGATGGATTATACACATACACATTTGAAGCTGAAAGAAAGGTTAGTGCCATGAAAGGCTTGCAGGGGGGCTTCTTTGATTTTTATTGAACTTTAAGCAGTTTATATGTATTTCTGAAACCCAGTATTGTATCTCTTGACGCCTAGCACTGAATAATATTTCTGAAGTTTTAAAAGCAGAAACTACCATGTCACTAGTCTGCTACTTCTCCAGACTTGTTTTCAGCGTGTAGGATTTTTGGTTTTAGACTTCTGTGGCTTTGGGGTCTAATAGTGATGACAGTGGCAGTCTGTCCATGTAGAGCAGCAGAACTGTTTACCTCTAGGCTTCATGAAGGAATTGGGTTTTGTCATTAATATTTGCAACAGTATTAATATTTCTAGAGCTGAAACTTTTAAAATAAACCTCATGCAAATAGTTTTGAGACCTTATTAGTAGCATTTGTAAAATCGTATTTAATGTAACGTGCATTCTTGTGCTGCTTTGTTGTAGGAGAACTGTCCAGCCTGCAGCCAGCTTCCCCAAAACATAGAGATTTCCCCATCAGCTAAATTGCAGGAGATCTTGGATTACTTGACAAACAATGCTTCGTTGTAAGTGTGCAGCTCTGCTGACTGACTTGATAGTTTTTGGTAGTTTGGTATTTCAAAAGGGTAGTTTATAGATGTATTCTCACTTGATTGGGGTTGTTTTTAATGGTTTTGGTTTTATTTTAAATGTTTTATATATAGGCAAATGAAATCTCCTGCAATCACAGCAACTATGTATGGAGGAAATAAAACGCTTTATTTACAGGTAATCTGAACATAGGTAACTGTCTTTAATAATCTTAATTATTTAAATTTACTTGCCTAAATTTGACAGGAAATGTTTTGGCGCTTTTTTTCCCTGTATAGACAGTCGCTTCAATTGAAGAACGAACAAGGCCAAATCTTTCCAAGACACTAAAAGGTACCATGCAGTTGTCATATGTAGATTTTCAAGATACTTCTCTAAACAGAGTCAATGAGTTTTATCCCTCTGTACGACATGTATACCTTTATTTTGCACAGTAGAATGTGCTTCATTATCTTTCCTTTGCAATTTATCTTTGTTGGGTTGCTCAGGGATGAGCTTTGAATTGCTTAAATGTGAAGTGTGGGCAGATGTTGCCTGGTGAAGAAAACATTGCAAGAAAGCAACGCTAACTGGTGTAGATTAAGCATACTTCAGTAGTGTGTTAAGCAGTATGTTATCTATTTTCTGACAAGGTCTGTGACTTTTCTCGGTGAATTAAGTGAATATTAGTTTAGCTAGTAAGCTGTTGGGAGCTTTACTTCATTGTATTTATGGTTTGTGGGTTCATAACTTGTTTTTATCTTAATTTAAAAAAAAAAGACAAACCACATGGATTTACTGTACTTCAACTTTTCTTTCCACTTTAGAACTGGGACTTGTGGATGGCCAGGAACTTGCAGTTGCTGATGTTACTACACCACAGACTATGCTGTTCAAGCTTCACTTTACCACTTAATTTATTCCTGAGTAAACTGCATACACGGCGAGAGAAATCTGTACCCACCTTGTAAAACAAATGTACTCTGGGTGTTAAAGCAACCTGAAATGTTCATGTTAGTTACTAGCGTTGTTGAAAGTTAGGTAATACAAATGAATCACCATATTTTGGAAGTGTATGTAGAAGCCAATATTTGGTGGATTATATTTGTATAAATGCTTATTAATGTACAGAACTCTGATGTACAGGAATACCTTTTTTGTTGTCAAAATGTTAATGCTAATATACTTTCAGGCACATGGAAATTTTAAGGTGGCCAAAAGTCTCGTTTTTCACACCTCTGTCCACATGTATATGTGAAGAGAAGACCCTTTAAAAGGAACCACAACAATCTGGTTTTAAATTGTAGCACTCCTAGCTTGATGAATCACCTTAAAACCAGTAGAGGACTGTAGGCTAAAATGAGCATTTTATTCTTGTTTGATATTGATTTGATCAATTTTATGGAAGTTGTTGAATATGGAAGACTACTCTGTTTACAGTCAAACATGAAAAGACAAAGTCAGCAGCTGTACGTGAAAATACAGGCATGTCCACTCGCAGTCTCCAAGCAGGCATAGTGCACGGTCTCATAGGATTATGTTCAAGTATCATTGGTGCTGTTAAGGTATTTATTAATAAACAAACATAAAGACACCTTAGTTTGTGGCCTATCAGTAGACATTCAAGAGTGTTTATAACCTCGGGTATCATTTGGCTGTCTCAGTCAGACCTTTCATTGCCAGTGCTGGGTACCTCAAGGTAAAATCTCTGATTTTACTTCATGTGTGTCAACTGCGTTTGAACTTTCCATCTTTTAAACTGTGAACTGTGATTAAACTTTCCCTCTTCCAGCCTTGCACTTGAACTCTGTAGTAAAAGGGGGGGGGATAGGGGGGTGGTTACTCTACTGTAATTTTAAACCAGATCATTTTTAGCAGCTCTGCAGCCTTTGGCAGTGTTAAAAGGCCTCTTGTAAGCTGTGGGACTTCAAGCAGGGAGTTTAGGTGCTGAGGTTTAGAGAAGTGTATACTGCCTTCGTTATCCGAAGGAAGCATTAAGAAGCAAGGAAATAAAGTTGTCTTTTTAAACGTCTGATTTGAATGAGATGTCACGACAGCGCGGGCCCGCCCTTCGCCATGACAGGAGCCGAGACAGACGTGAAGGAGGTGGCCCCATCCCCGCCGCCATGGCGGGTACCGAGGCGGAAGGCCTTGCTCCGGCGCTCGTGACGTGTTGGGGCTGGAAGGCGGCTGCGCGCAGGCCTCTTTGCG